ATTTAATTCACAGATTTCTTAATAAAGATTCTAGAATGTTTGCTTCTTGAAATTAGTGTATGATTACCTACCCAAAGGAGGTGATTGTATATATTAACTGAAAGAAGTGTGAGTAGCTAGTAAGGGTTATTGTTTTGGTTTTATAGAGAATTTTCTACCCAAAGGAGATTATTTTTTATAAGACCATTCTTATTAATTCACTTATAATAAAACTAAATTACTATGTCATTAAAACTAGTTGATCTATTTGGAAGATTGAATATGAACTATTAAGTTTAAGGAATAAAGTTGCTACTTTCATATTAGTGTATGTAATATTTTGCCTAAAGGTGATTATTGTATGCATTAACATGAAGTAGTGGGAGCAATTATTAACGATTATAAGTATTTATTCATATTTACTAAAAGATGGTTCACTTACTAATTGACTTGTTAAGGTTTAATTTTATGCACGTATTTAGCCAACATAAAGTGAAAATAAAGTAAGGTATAATTGTGTCTTGAACTCTTATAAATTAAATAGAATCATGCTATAAAGAGAAAGTTAGAGACTAAGCAACGGTCAAAAGACACAAAAGAAGAAGGAATTCTCAACAAAGTTAAAGATTTAAAAGAGAGTTAACAAGCTTCAGTTGAAGCAAAGAAAAGGAGTGGTGATGAAGTCGAAAAAGGAGACTTTTACAAAAGGATTGAGTCAAACGACTCTGAACTAATTGTTGAACAAAATAAATACATGAAGCTTCTTGATGGTCACAATAGGTTGAAATTACAATATAACTACCTCCTTAGTAAGAAAGACATTACTTTACCAACAACCTGTTAGTCCAAATGAAAGGAGCTTGATTCCTCTTAAGTAAGTACTCGAGTTCGAGTCTTGTGAATGGAGAAACAGACACTAGGAGAGCCTCCCCCCTTATAGGGTATGACGCGGCTCAATTCCGGATTAGTCAGGACCCAATGTGGTTACTGGATACCAGGAGGTCAGTACTAAAAAAATAAAAAAAGAAAGACTTTACTTTAGAGTAAATGACAACACCAGATAAATTAAAGTGTGAAGGGCATCATCACAATTAAAATCCTCCATTAAGTTTATGTTACTTAACCTTCTATTTAGAGATTGGCTCTCAATTTTATAGCTCTATGTTAATGCAAAAGTTGATTATCCACTAACATAATTATTTTAGAGACATTTAAGGGGTATAAAGTAATGTGTCTTAAAGGTTAGTGAGAGTTAAATAATTTATTACTTGATATATAATGATAAGATTATTGATAAGAAAAACAAAAATTGCTTGGTTGCAATGGTGAAATTCCTAGACACATGTGTTATGAATTATATAGAAAATAATTTTTGTAAAAGATGCAATTACCTTTATTAAAGTTGATAAAGTCTTGTCACTCTTGTACTTTTGTGTTTGATCAAAGTTTAAAGATCATGTTATTTTTAGTAATGGATAATGGAGGATTGTTTCCATTAGAATATTTTATCCTTGATGATGTTAGTTATCTATAGGATGACTTGTTTATAGAATTTGATGGAAAAGACACATCAAAGTTAATTGTTGATTTATCTTATAAAGTAAGAGTGACATAAAGGTGAAATTAAGAGTGACATAAAGGTGAAATTATGAATAATGATTATAGTCATGCATTATTGTAACTAGATTAACTAATTTACTGATCAAGAGATTATAATTTTGTTAGTTATTTATGAGAATTATTTTAGACATGTATTCTTGATCAGTGGTAGAAGCTGATTTCTCTATCACTAATACGTTTTATTTTGTTTGTTGAATCACTTATTATTTTATAATAATGCAATGCATTGTACTAATGGCTTTTTATGAGCTCATACAAATATTGATACTAAGATCTCAATGTATAAATGAAAAAGGCTTCTTCAGAAGTGTATGAGCTTCTTTTAAAGTGTAAAGGCCTTTTTAGAAAAATGAGAGAGATTATCTCCTTGGGTTTTATGAAGCTAGAATAAAGTTTAGAAGCTTCCTTAGGGAAGTGTAAAAGAGATTACATCCTTAGAAAAGGGTTTCTTTGAAACTATAAAGAGGACCATTTTAAAGAGGACCATTGTGGTTTTGAGATGTTATATCTTATATGAATCACATTGTGCCAAACCATACCACACTTTATCACACCTATTAGAATTAATGTTGGTGGAGATATTTGATAATTGTGATTATGAGGGGTCTTGTGTTATTAGTGACATAATAATCACACAATTCAATATTGATATTTTCATTGAATGGAATTTTGTGTTAAGATTTTGATTTATATTTGTGACTACTAAAGTTGTGTTTGACACAAGAGTCTTTTTTTTTTTTAATATATTTTTTAAAATTTAAAACCAATTAGCATTGCCCAAGTGGGAGAATGTTGGAAATTTTATGTGGGCTTCCACTAATTGTGTTTGGTTTTCAAAATTAGGTCAAATGGAAAACCAATAAAGCTAATAAAGTTATGTGATCTAAAAGTAGGTTTAGGTTTTATTTCAGTTTTATATATGGTAGTATGAATAGGTGTAGGGTCTGGAATTCAAAATTCGCTACTTGATGGGGTGCCTAAAAGATTATTATAATGGGTTAGGTCCCTTCTCTCATTAAAAAAACCCTACCTCTATAAATAATAGAGTTAGGGAATGATGTAACTCATTAGTTGTCACTATACAAATGTTGAATAGGGAGAAGAAGACCTAAATCCCAAAATATTAACTATATTTGTTTTGTAAGTTTGGTTATGAGATTCTAAATTATGATAATTCTTAAAAATCCTTAAAGATTCTTAGATAACATATTGATTATGAAGATTTAGGTATGTAATTTATTTATTTTATTAGATCTTGATATTTTAAATCCTACATATATCGATCTTTAAAATTCTAACATTAATAATGGGAATTACCCTTGTAATAAACTAATTTGGTGGAGATAAAGATAATACTTCAAGCGTAGGATGGTGTGTTTCTTTCAATGATGGGCAAAATGCACGAGCTCAATTATGGTCACTAAAGATATTATTAAAACCACTAATATTTTACTTTTTATTTTGTTAAATTACTTATCTAAACACACTCAGTTTAAGAAAATACATATTTTTTCAACTCTATCCTCATCACTTGTGTCTTTTCTTGAGTGGATAAAGAAGTAATTTAACAAAACAAAAAGTAAAATATTGTTGACCTTAACAATATTCTTAGTGGCCATAACAAGGGCCAAAATGTCCTCATCATTTAAAATTTTTAACCACGAAACATATAGGGATGGGCCATGACGTGACATCCCCTCATTATTTATCTTTTAATAACTAGAATAAGGGCTCCTCATTGTTATCTTTTAATGTCTAGAATGAGGGCTTTTAATAACAGGACATACTCTCGTTAAAAGATAGTTTTGTTGTAGTTATATGTTGCTGAAATACATGAAAATAAATGTGTTTTTTATTTATAGTCACAAAATATATGAAAACCAAAAGTAAAAACCTATGACTACAACTCTACTAAATAAAACTTTAATTAGTGTTGTTAAATTTTTAGCAAATAAAATTAAAAACCAAAAATAACATCATTGAAAAAACATATATATGTATAGAAATGTTTAAAAGTATAGTTTCATTTAGTATGATAGTGTTTTGATTTTTGGTTTTTTGTTGCCA